TGTATGGTAGGCTTACAGTACTTGAAGATAGCGGAGTCGTAGAATGCTGGGCATACGATGGAGTGCTCTAGTGAAGCAGGTGGTACCAATGTTTCTGCTAAATGGTGAGCTTCTTGTATCCAAACTTCTGTTGCAGCTTCCAAGCCTCCTGGGCTCGGACCGGCACCGAATGGCATCGATGTCCAGAGCAACATATAGGCTTCAGATCTCGTGTGTGTGAGAGTTCTCGCCTTCATAACTACTGTAGCACAAGTAGCTGCTGATTTGGCACTCAGCAGAACTTGGTTGAATGCTTTCTCGAGGTCCATGACCCGACAGACTGGCCTCGAGCATACCCGAATCAGGAATTCCCAGAGATTCCACCTTGTGATCGTAGGCAAACTGAAAAGCTTATTCACGGGGCGCATATCGTAGACGATGCGGCATGGTGTTGTAGGGCTATCCTTGAAGACTGCTTGCGCAGCAGTGAAGACCGGTAGATGACTGTCGAGATAGTTATCCTCGACCAAGTGGGTCTCCTGTATACGAGGATTAGAGGCATAGAGACGAGCAATACAACGAGCAGGAGGTGGATGTTCTAGAGATGTCAGTTTGATATAGCCGACAAAACCAGAGGACAACAATTTATCAATACTATCATTGATTTGTTGTCTTTGATGTAGATTCTTTCCGTGGGAAGATTTCTGTGCCCGAGCAACCGCTGCACGCCAACCCGTACCCTGTAGAGCTTCAAAGGCTGCCTCATCGCTGAAGGTAAAGTCCGCCACCAACCTTCCGGTGCGAGTGGAGTCAATATGAATGACTTCTCTTGGGAGACGGCGAGGCACTATGTCTGACTCCTTATCTACTTCCGCGTCGGAGTTGATATCGACAAAGCTCAGCAGTGGTTGTGTATGCAGGCATTGCGAATGATGGTGTAGTTGACCTGGTGGGGCTGCAAGAGAATGCAAAGTGAGCTCAATGTCAGGTTCGTGGTCAATGTTGATGGCACACGTTCTGAGAGGGTGAGACGGCACTCGCCATGGCGTCAATGTAGTTCTACCGTTAGAACGAGCTCGAGATGGCTGCCCCTCCTCTTCCTGAGAGGACCCAACCGCACCAGTTTTAACCGAAACCATACCACGAGGAGAGAACTCTAGCCTAACCCCAAGGGCTTGCAGCGCCGGTACCCCAATCACCAGCGGTAGGCTAAGATGATCTACAACATATGCCGTAATAACAGCTGATGCTTTCGGAGTGGTGAGCCTCAGGGAACAAGTGCCTCGCAGAGGAACCCGCGATTTGTTGTCAGCCAAGGTGGCTATACGCTGCGACTTGCCCTCTGGCCACGACACAGAACTATTCGCTCTAGCCGCTAACGTGTTGATGATCAAGCGGGATGACGTTAGCGGGATGATCAACAGTTGATCACATCGGTACGGACGAAGCTACCGGTAGCCCCCGTATCCCACAGCGCCAGTACACAAATATCTGCGCCTGGCAGCTGCGGGATACTAACTGACAAAGATGTCTTTACCTGAGGGCCTTTGAGGGTAGGGACATTAGTTTGCACCACCGTAGGAGAGTCGTACTGTGTTACCACAGTAGGATGCGTTATCCTAATAGCGAATATATCTGGTATGGCCTCCTCCCCCTCGGGAACGTCATCGATGGTTATGGCGGCATTGCATACTGTACGTTGCTGGCCTTTGTCACCGGATTTGACGTCTTTGATAGATTGATGGTCGTCGTCAGCAGATGGTTGGCTGCTTCGCCTCTCATTCCGTCTAGCTTGTCTCCCCGACTTCGACTGCTGACGGAATGTTGGAGCACTCCTGCATGCCGCGGCGAAGTGGCCTTCTTTGTTGCACCTGGCGCAGACCTTGTTAGTTGCTGGACAAGGCGTGCCACCACCATGCGCCCTAGCGCATCTCGAACAGGTTCCTGTTGCCAGATTAGGTAGCTTCAGTAGACAGTGCCTCACTCCTCGGCAACTCGGATCTTTACAGCCCCTTGCGCATCCAGGTTCCCCACTCGGTAGCTGGCCCGCGTTGATGCCGTTGAGGTATATTTCATCGAGCTCTATGACAGTGGGGGGAGCTTGGGGGAG